TTATTATTATTATTATGTGCTTGGAATCAAGACTTGGGCTTTGCATATGACAGGCCAGGCCCCTCTCTGCACTACACCATGAGTAGAGAATATTTGGTAATATGCTAAAGTTATTCAAATGTACTTGACAAACTTCATGTTTGAAATGCTTCCTAAGAGTATATTTAAAAGTACAGGCCAAAGTTAAAAAAATAATTTAATTATTTTTATTTGTGTGTGAATGCATGTGTGTGTGTTGGGGATGAAGATCAGAAGACCACTTTTGGGAGATGATTCTAACCTACTGTGAGATCTGGTTGTTGGGTTTGTGTAGCAAGTGCTTTTATTTGTTGAGCCGTCTCACCAGCCTACAGACCAAATTGTTTTTAAGCTCATAATAACAACAAAAACAAACAAAATAAAAGAAAGAATGAAGAAACAGGAAAATAAAAACATATCGTAAATGACAAGTATTCAAAAGTAAGGGATTGTAATTGTCTAAATTATAATATATACAAGTAGTTAATAATTACATATGATTTTAAAAAGCTTAAGTTTTGAACATCCACACTCCATCCAAGGATCTGTACTTACACTGTTGAGATGAATTAATGGCTGGACTGTATTTTGGCTGACCTCTAGTGTGTGCTGACAAATGGCAGATTTGAGTGGTGACTCAGAAATCTGGAAGATTAAGAACCATGTAAGGGGATAGAAGCAGGCCAGATGAGGCACAGCCTAGAGTAGGTCCTATGTTGAGAACATGCCGTAGTCTGGAGGAAACTGTAGTTGAATATCTATAAAATGAGGAAATGCTTATTACTTAGAAAACAATTGATCAAAACGAGGCTGTAAACCATGGTTGTATAGAGATGTACTCCTCCTGGTGCTGAATTGGCAGAGACAGGACCCTGAGTTTGAACAGCCTGTGCTATAAAGTAATTTGAAGACCATTCTCAGTGACAGAACAAGACCCTGTGTTTAAAAAACAAAGAACAAAAAGCCCAAAACAAAAACAAAAACAGAAACAACATAAACATAAATAAAACCCAAAGACTCAGGGTGTAGCTGAGTGGTAAAGCACTGGCCTCACAGGCCCAAGGCCTTGAGTTTGATGCTCAGCACCACTGCATATGGACCAAAACCAACTTCCATAGTAAAAAGTATGTATAGATGAAAAACTGGAAGCCCGGCATGGTCATCCCAGCACTCAGGAGGCAGAGGCATGTTGATGTCTATGAGATTGAGGCCAGCTTGGTCTCTACAGCAAGTTCCAGGCCATCTTGGGCTACACAGAAACCATGTCTCAAAAAACCCACAAAACAAAAAAACCTGGAAGAATACACCAAGAATTTCACAGTGAAATGTGAATGTTTTAAAGGCACTCCTAAAATACACTGATCTGCAAGAAACATAATTAAAAAAACCCAAAGTAATCTCTTTAAACAACAGCAAATCTCTGACAGTTGGTAAAGTGCGGAGATGATGACTGTACTCACACCATTTCTTACACATACATATAAATATATAAATGTTTTAGTCATCTTTTCTTCCTAGTGTTTTCCTGTAAGCATCTTCAATTTCTACTAAAGATATTAGTGCTTTTTTTTTTCTTCAAAAGACATGTTCCTTTATCTGCTCAGTCTTCATCTACTGATTTTGAACATGTTTTTAGTGCACAAGTACTTATTTCTAATGGAGGACTATGTAGCTGGTCACCATCTTTCCTTCCCTGGCAGTATAAGCTTTCATCACATAATTTCCTCTTTTCACTTTGGTCACGTGGAAGGGCAGAACATTTTGTGCTGGAGGATCAGTCAGTGGCCACCCACTTCTGCCTTTCACCTTGGAGCCTGTGAGGGGCTCAGGACACAGAGCCTGCTTGTCCTCACTAGGACCACTTCTCTCCACCGGCATCACTGCCTGGCTGAGATTCAGGTAAAAGCTGTTTTTATTACTTCAGATATCCAGACAGTGTGGCAGGAAAGTGAGACTGACAGGGAAGCTGTCTTTATTGATCCTGTGAGAACAGCATTAGCTCTGTGAAAACTGGAGTTCACGTTCATGAAGAGGCTTTTTCTCTTCCTTGGTGTGCTGTGGGTTTTAATGAGTTAAGAGAACAAGGAAGAGGGATTTGTGGAGTTACTGACTTTTGAATTGGGTTGAACGATTTACAGATTATCTTACCTACCTTGAAGAATTCTGATAG